GATCTGGTGAACGCCGAACCATCCCAGCCAGGAACCCCGGACATTTGGGCTGGAGGTTCGCCTCCGCGACACCTCCGGGTGTCGCATAGCCTGTAGAAGAAGAAGAAGAGAGAGAGAGAGATCTCCTTGACCGCAAGCCTGAAGAAGCTCCCAAAATTGGGGGCCAACATCCATTACATGACCCGAATAGGGTCCTCTGGTTGGGGTTGCCAAAAGCACCTTATCAGAACCTAAGTCCAAATTAAAGATTGGCTTGCTTCTACTGATAACCTAAAGGGAATATGAAGCTATAAGGTCTCAGAGTTTTCCCATGTTGGACCATGAAACCTCAAGCCCTAAACAGGGCTAGCTATGAATCCCTACATAGCCCTTCTAAACTACTAAACAATGATTTTTATGGGGCCCCGCCATCTACCCTAGTACCCTGTACCCTAAACCCTAAACCCCTAAGCACAATTTGCCAGGCCAAAGCTTCGAGATGAAGAGAGCGGCGGCCCCGGGCAGGGTAGTTCATGGAGACCCGTGGTTGAAGGGTGCAGGGTTTAAGGGTTGCGTATGTAAGACATGGGAGGTATTAGGTTATGTATTTCCTCAGAAGGATTCCTTACAGTTCTTATCCAGATTAGGAACTGTTTTGGTGTACCATAATGGCGGAGAATTAAACATGATGATTGGCGTAAATTCTTTATAACATGGGTCCCTATAGTGGGGTTCCGATGACAATATGGGTCCCCACATGGCCAAGTCCCACATGATGACATGCTTACTTCAAAGAGGGTTGCATAGTCCCCCCCAAGTAGATAGAATATGGCTTTGGGTATATTTTAGCAACATCCCCATGTACACCATATTCTATCTACTTAAGGGGGACTTGGACCTACTGCCCATGAACCCCAAATCCCAAATCAACCTTGAGCATGACGTGCTCTACCGGGCGGCGTGGAGGGGTTTGAGAATTTGCATCCGATGGAACCTTTTGCATCGCTAGGACCCATATCTTTAGACCAAGATGCTGCGATTTTCCCGAAACCAACCTATGCAGAAGTGCCAAGTGCATCTCTTCATTTATGCGCAGTAAAGGGTCCAGTATATTTGGCTTTTTGGGGTTTAGGATTTAGGGTTTGAATGTTTGTGACAGGATCCTTGGAATCCTACAGCCTAAAGCTTGGCGTTTCAGGGATTTGGGCATCCTTGAAGGAAACCCGCACGATTGTCTTGCAACTGGGTTAGCTGCTTTGCCCCTCCCCAAAGCCAGCATGGAATCCTGGCAATGACTACAGTCGTCTCCATGGACCTATTTCTTTTCCATTTGCTTCTCCATTACTGAGATAGAAAGTATTCCCAAGCCCCTAGGCCCTATAACAATCTCGATATAATCCTACATCACGCGGTTATATGTGCCATATAAGCCCCTATAACCTGATGCTGGTTTAGGGGTGCAAGCCCAGGGCCTAGTGGAAGCCACATCCGCGCACAGCCGAGGCTCTTCAACGCACTTTGAAGTGGGAATTTCTCGAAATTAGAGGCTCCCCTAGATGTCCGCAAAATGAGATCCAGACTATACGGACCCTGAAAGGAGCATTCCGAATTTCGAGAAGAATTTCGAGAAGCCCGCAAGTCTCACCCTCTGGAAAGCTTGCTTGCCAGGAGCATTGGGTCAATATTGTTTGGAGGGCAAGGGTTATTCTCAAGGCCATATATGATGTAGCACTCTGTTAAATCAAGAGCTCCCTAACTATCGCAGGGCCAACAAAACGGTAACAGGAGTCCTCAATGAACTCCCTCAGTTCTGAGAATGCTGGGTTTGATAGAAAGGGGGTGGTCTGGCTGCTGCGGGGGCCACAAGAAAAAGAAACACATCGAGGATAATCTTCTAAGATTAGCGTGTGAATGGGTAATTTTTGGCAGTTTCCAGAAAGGAGGTCCCCTTCATATACCTCGCAAAACGATAAACTCTGCTATAGGAGCCCATGCCGAGCCCCTAATTTCGGCAAACTCCAATAAATTTCCAAAGCAAACTAACCCATGGTCCCCCTTGGCATTCCAATCTTCACGCGGCTCTCACGGCATTGGGGTACGACTGAGAGCGCGAACTACCAGTGGGATCTTCTGAGTGCACAAAATGTACACAGGTTCGTTACGATCTTGCACTGTGTTTTTTTGGGAAGTCCTAACAGAGACACATGCCGTGGCCACATAGTGTCCGGTGCTCTAGTTTGACGTAGTGTCGTTAGCGATTTGAAAAAGTATAGACGTGCAGGAAATTACCAGCCTTTTCTTCAACCATTGCTTGAATGTCCTGACATAATTCGTTTATATGATGTATGGATATTGCTACGCTCGCCGAAGTCCCACGCACAAAGGCCGTCTTTGTGCGATTGGCAGACATGATGTAAAGCCTTGCAAGACCCTGTACAGGCAAGCAAATAGCTCCATGGGGAATCCTCTGGCTGGTTCGTAGTAGGGAACGCAGAAATGGATCCCTCCAGCGCCCTCTAAATAACCCCAAACACCACATCCACAATTTTATAGTGCGATCTTTGATTCCCTACTTGCAACCAGCAAGTCCTAGGGCCATCTCTGGCCATTCTCGCACAAGACCATAGTATTGCTTTCGCTTGCCTCTACCACGCGAGTCTCTCAAAAGGAGATTGCGCTTTTAGGGTCCCTGTTGAGGGTTTAGGGTTTGGGGCCTGTACTTAGGACCTCTGTTTGTGAGGGGGAATATGGGAGTTTCTCAAACTAAGAAGCCCTGAGATCGACCCCAATATATTGTAATCCTTTTCCTGGAGCTCACACAGTGGGCCCTTGTTTCTTGGAAGCCCATGTCTAGACCCCTTTCCTGAAAAATGCCAAAGATAGCCTGGCCGTGATGAATCTGACTTGTTAGGGTAGAGGCATGGTGCTGGGATGGGGCAGCTGGCTACGGACCCTCAGTATCTGGGTAGGTACACGTACACTCTTTGGCTGCATGTCGTCAAAGGGCAAGGATGTGCTTCACATTTGTTGCTGCTTTTTGTCCGAACACAACCAAGAATTGAGTAGAAAGTGTTAACTTGTTGGCCTAGGGCCGTGTCAACGCCGCACTCATATCCGTTAACGCAAGCTTCTGATATTTCCTTCGTGCATGCAAACCTCACGTGACGTACTATGCCATGGAGGATTCACATCTCAGAATTCCCTGAGCGGGGGCTTGGGACTTCAGGCGCCTACCATAGGCATGGACATCCTTCAACTTGATAAGTATTAGCAACCTGACCAGACCTCTCCGTTAAGGCTGGTCTGGCTTAATGTCACGTGCCCGGAGTATTGTGAATCGCCAGCTTCAAGGGAGCCTTAAAATTGACCATAAACCCTATCAAGGGATCCCCAAAATCTGACGATTATTACATCTGGGATAAGCAGAGAATATCTTACTGGGGTTAACAGGGAATAAGGGAACATGTTATACAGGGGTTGTATTCCCTTATTCTTCCCTACTAATCCTAAATCCTAAACTTTAAGCCCTATATATATACGCATATATATATATATACGCACACTGTTTTTCCCCCGTATTCCCTACTGACCACCAGCAAATTCTTGGGGGCATGTATGTTTGAATCTGTTGTGGGGCGGGGGCTGGTCCCGACGCATGCAAAGTCGGTGAGGCAGCCTCGCCTTGTTTAGGGCTGAGGCTGATTAGGTATAGGGTTTTTGGTTCAGGGCTTATAGGGACTTTGAGAGATGCAGGCTTTCAAATTCGGGGTCGTTTTAATTAAAGAAATCGCCGATTTGAGGTGGGTGCATTTTTCGAGTCTGGGCTTGGCAGAAGCAAGGGCATCCAGAGATGGCATTGTCATCGGCTTAGCTACCTCTATGGCTTTTTAGATTTGAGGATCTTGCCCAGTGAGCTTTGGCTGCTTGCCTCTACATGGAAGGTTGCCCTACATGGTAGTTTCCCAAAATGAGGGGACCCCAATATAGACCCCAAAATACTAAAGCCCTCATTATGGGGACCCCCAAATGGTACCCCCTTGTTTGAGGAAACTACCACATTGTCCCAACACAACCCCCGGAGCGTGGAGCCTATGACTCAGTATCCCCTATATAACCCGTACAGCCCCTTTAAAGGGAGGTTGCCTTACATTATCCCCTTAGAGACTATACACCCCTTATTCCCCATATAACCTATAACTCCTTTAAAGCGACTCAGTGCATTCATCTGTCAAATGCATTTTTGGTTCAAGGGCTCCTGGGCATTCCGCCCAGATTGAGCCTACCACCTTACAACCCACCTTACCTGGATCAAAGTCAGGGGTTCAGGGTTTTGGATTTAGAGTTCACGGTTTATGGTTTTGGGTTTTGAGTTCATGGTTTGCGGTTTAGAGCTCAGGGTTTAGGGTTTAGAGTTCATGGTTTAGGGTTTAGAGCTCATGGTTTGGGGTTAAGGATTTAGCAAGCTTTAGGGCTTAGGATCCCACACATGTCTTTGGGATGTGGGTCCAATACTCTATACATGCTGAACGTTTTATCAATGAAGAATATGGTCAGAAGAACAACAACATTTGAAATAACAAGATATAGCAAGAGTACTTAGTTGACAGTAGGAATGCAAATACTAGCTCAATGGCATCCAAGCCGCTATAGCCTAAACTGGGTCTGAAGTGCGGGCCATGTGTTAACTGGGTCTGAAGCGCCGGCCATGTCTTGGCACCACTGCGTTCTCATATTTGGGCTGACTGCGGCCGCTGCCGAGCAAGGTGCAAATAATTTCAAACACTGCTTGACAGGGTCGCAGGAGAAGAGCCACCTTCCTTCTTGTGTGCTGTCATGCGTGTCGTGCAAACCGCCACCGCTGCCCACGCCACCCCTGCCGCCGCCACCGCAACCATCACCACCCTTACTATGAAGCATTGCCAAGAGGCAATGATTGCTGCTGGTATCAGTTTGAATTTCCCTTGCCTGTATATGTTGAAAAGAACTCCTCCAGGCATGCTTCCCTGAGCCAGAGGTTGATACATGCTCGTATAGCTGTTGCTGATTGATCTTCATGAACCATGGAAGGTCCATGCGTTCCCGCATCATGAGGCTCCCCCCCCAAAGAAATCCAATCATTTGTCATTGTTTGTCGTCAAGTTTTGACGTGCCGTGAGCTGCTGTTATTTCCTCTTATCTACTGTTATGTGCAGGTATGTGTTTCCATTTGCTCCCATTTGTCTTGCATCCATCTGCCCTTCTGTGTCCTCATTTGTCCTGATTTGCCCTTACTTGTCCCGAGTTGCCCATATTTGCTGGTATTTGCCTAGTCCTATTTGGTACTATTTGCCGTTAGTTGCCGTTGTTCTTGTTGTTGTTTTTTTTGGGGGGGGGAGGTGGGGGGGGGGTGGCTGTTGTGGTGGGCTCATCGGGAATCTATGAATGGAGCAAGTAGCCCACCCAGCGATGTCATGTTGTTGGTGCTACCGTGTGTCTTCCTGATCAAAATCGCAAACTCGTTCGGCTCTAACCCTGAACCTTATAAGGCAGAGGGTCCAAGTACCCAATAGTCAGGTACTTGGGTTTAGGGTAGTAGTAATTATGATATAGGTTTTGGGTAAGTATATGACTGTTAGGTACTTGGACCTTGGGTCTGGATTGAAGAAGTTCTGCCAGGATGCGCCAGCCCCACATCTTCCGCAAGCTCCGCCTTGCTGCAAAGGACGCGGAAAGCTGCTCTCAAGGCTGGGTTTAGGGTTTAGGGTTTACGCTCATTTTGACTTTAATGTAGACCCCTGATTAACAACTCGCTTCCTTTAAACGGCCTAAATATCACGATCCCTATTATAATCCCCATTCAGCGGAGGGGGTTTATTAACTAGGGGTATACATTAGGGCTCAGGGTGTAGGGGTCATGAAAATATTTCTTGAGGGGGCGCCTTGAAGACTGCAGGGATATACGGGATTAAAAGAAGATCGCATATGAGGATGCGCTTGGAGAGAATATAGGGATGGTGCAGGGATACTCCCTAAATATGTGTGCATAACCATTTATGTGTGATGGGCTCCTCAGAGTGAGGATTTTATTGTGTTGTATGCGCAGGGCTCAAAAACCAGTGTGAGTGTTTCTGAATGATGAACGATACTACCTCAGAGGTCCACCGGGGAATTGGTAGAAATTCCGTGCCGTGCGATGAAGACGGACCCGCTTCGCACGCACTCGGCCTGGCGTGCAATGAGCTTATATCCAGAACCATAAGCTCGGAATCTCAATGCCTAGCGCCTACTTGCTTAAGACCGAAAACAAAGAAGTTGAACCCCCCTGAATCCACCAAAGCCACAATCTTCGGCTGCCCAGGCCCTATGCAACCTCAGGGATCCATGTTAATCCTTCTATCTCATATCTTATACTATACGCCCCAGTAGTTACCCTAAACCCCTCAAAGCCCTAAAGCCTATAATGTCCTTATGCTACACAAAGAATTCCATATGCAGGTAGCCACGCCGCGGTTCCACTACGATGCGAAGCAGATGTGGCCTCACGGCTGTGCTTTTCAGCAGGGCTCTTTGTCTCTGACACGGGGGCTTCTCAAACAGAGTGGCCCCTCTGTTTCTGAGAAAATAGCATACTGTGGGCATGCTACTGCTCTGTGTGTTCCCAGCCCCCCCTCCTGATGGCAATTCTCCCCCCACCCCTTCACCCTCCCCAAGCTTTTGTCGCGCTTCAACAGTACCAAGAGTCACAGGGATCGGGGTGGTCCGCATCGCGATCCTCGCAACTTTCATGATGTCTTTTGCAGCCTCACACAATGACAGGGATCGGTGTGATCCTCATCTTACATGAACCTATAAAGCCATGAACCTCATGTAAGCCTCGCGAAGCATTTTGTGCAAGTGCTATAAACCTTCTACGGAGACTATAAAACCCCATAGAAGCCTCCAGTCTCCCTTAAGAAGATAGAATATGGAGTTGACCATAACCATAATAAGATCCCCAGACCAAAGGCCAGGACCAGATCACGGTGGGTTAACGGCCTTGAAATTCTCTGCAAACTCCAAAACCCCTCCTCCCATCATCCCCCCCAGAACCCCCCCCGCACCTGCCCCCCTCACCCCCAAACCCGCGTGGTCCTGTCGTCTCGGCTTGGTGGCTTAGCTTTATAGTTTGAAAGATTTATAGAGAGAGTTTATAATGTTTATTGCTTTCAAAAAAAGTTTACAGAGGGCGCGTGGGCTGCATAGAAGGCTTATAACAGGTTCAACACGTTTTCTGAAGGGTCTTCATAAAGTCTTACCAGGGGTATAGAGATAAAGAGTTTCCAGGCAGTTTGTAGCGCGTTTCCAGCCCTTTTACAAAAGGTTTACGGGCATTTGATAGCTTTCATAAGTGTATAAGCACGTTATGAACATGTTTAACTGGGTGCTTATAAATGTACCGCTTTTTCCCGTGATCCTGTGGCCCCGTAGTCTGAGTCTTGTGGTGAGGGATTTTTTTTCGAGACAGATATTTCGTGGTTCTTGGGGCGTTAGAAACCTCATCCCCAGGCGGGGGAGGGGGTTTTAGGGTTTAGCGGGGACTGGGAACACGGGGTGCGGAAACATGCACAGATCAGGGTTAAAATGCAGAGACCATGAGGTCTTTACTAGGATTTTACAGGAATAACCTCAATTCTTAAGCTGCGCCCACATGCATGTTTTCAGGTGGCTCATTTGGATCTTTCTTCGGGGCCTTTCAGTGGAAATCCACAGGATCCCCATCCGCATAGATTATTATTGATGAGTGCCCTTCCTGTAATCCCAGTTTGCATGGCTGCATGGGTTCCACCTACTAATTAAGTTAGTGGGTGAGTGCTACTAAACTAAAGTGTAGGTAGCTGGCGTTACAGCTCATTTTGGCAGCTATATTTTTAAGGCAACTAGCCCTTTGTGGCCTGTGCGCTCGGGAAACCCTGAGCCCACAACCCTTATTGACTGACTTGCCTATGTTGAGTGGAGAGTATGCAAAGCTTTCGCTCAATTCTCAGTCCCTTGAGGTCTCTTTAACAGAGAACGCACCCAACCAAACCTCAACCAAAAGTACGTGAAAGCAACCAATCACCGGTGTCCATGCAGTCCATGAAGAGGAACCTGGATTCCGAGAATGCTTTGTGGAAACAGCCGCTGGGTACGTGCATTCAGCATTCTCTTGACATGGGTTCGCAAGAAGCAGCACTCCCGAACGCATGACTACAACACCAGAGTGGGGGGGGAGTCTTCAATACTACGGGGGGTGGGGGTGTTTTGCAACAGGCGACCGAAGTACGGTTGAAAAACACACCTAAGGACAACGAGACGGCACGTGGGGCTCTTTCTAGACGGGGATTAACTGTGGAAGGGTGTGGCCTCTGCAACAATGATTGGACCACTCTCCAGGTGCAAAATCACCTGCTTGACATCCTCAACCATGAGCCAAAAAGACCTTAAGCAGTGAGCCCAGAGAGAGAGGCAGGACAGGTCCCGAAAATGAAGTCCAACATGCTGACTGGGGCCTTCACATGGTTATGCGCCCAAATGAGTTGAGGTGTGTCAGAGGCCATTGGACAGGGGAACTTCATTTTTTTTGCGATTGGAGGATGAGCTTTAAGATGTTAAATTTCAGCACGTCCGGATTGGTGCGACGTCGGCGCAGCTGCAAGCGAAAGCCCGAAGCATAAAGCTCCAGAAAATGGCTTAGAAAAAGGGCCCACCGCTACATGCAAGATATTGATCTATCCTGCTTATAGCGACCTCGACGAAGGGACCCGGACACATGGTATGAGAACCCCCACATGCACAGAATTCATGCCATGTGAAAGACATATGCTCTTCAATGGCCTCCAATTGAGCAACCTTAGTAGCCATTAAATACCTTTCCCCAAACGACATCTCCCACTATCCCCCCCCCATTCTAGTAATTGTGTCCGACATAAACCCTTGATTTCGTTTGTGATTTTTTTTCGGGTGGGAGGGGGATGGGGTTTTCCTCCACGCAATGACAGCTTCCATCTAATGTACCATCCGGTTCTGTGATTATTCTTTCGTACCAGTACTGGGGAGCGGTGATGGTTGTGACACTTTTCTTGAAGCACCAGGACTTTCAACACTTCCTCGAACCGCTGCCGGCTGCGGATTCAAAATGCATCTGGGGTGGAAGAGGAGGGGCCGCAGCAGTTGAGTGCTGTAAGTTATGTAGTTGAGTAACTTCATCAGCCTCTTTGAAGGCTCGTTTTCGTTTTGAGCATGCGGAGGCCAGAAGCGATTTATCGAATCCCAGAAGCAACTTACAAAATCCTAGAAGCTCTTCACAAAATATAAAATCCCAGAAGCGATTCATGAAACTGCTTGCGACACCCAGGGGCCATTTAATAAATAGTCCGAAGCCGCTTCAAGCCGCTTCCAGATATATAACCTGAAAACATGAATAGCTTCAAATAGCTTCGAGAAGCAGCTCGCCCAGCAAGCGGTTATGAGTAGTCCGGAACTCTTGAAACCTCTTCCCGCTACCTATTAACAAATAGCTTCCAAGGTTATATACATATATAGCTTCCAAGACTTATATATAGCTTTCAAGACTTTATATATAGCTTCCAAGATTTTATATATAGCTTCTAATTACCCCTCAAAACCCTGGAGCAAGCCATGAGGCGGATAAAATCATTAAGTTGATGGTACAGAGATAAGTCCTTCTGTAATCCCACCCTAAACCCCAAATCTTAAACTCTAGTCCCTGAACCTACTTCCTAAACCGACACTACAGCGCAAAAAGTAAAGTCTAGACCCTGCAACTCCCACAAACAAGCACTAGTCTTTGTAGAGCCTCTTTTGAACATCCATGTTAGTTTGCGGGAGTGTCAGCCTGTTATCTGAACCCTGAAACCCATAAAAGCCCTCAATCCCCAAACCCTGAACCCTGAAACTTATAGAAGTCCTTAATCCCTGAACCCCCAAAACCTAAAACCTAAATCCCAATGGCAGTTTTCAAATGAGCTACAGTCTAAGCTCCTTAAAGGGCATTATATAGGGGATTGTATAGGGGACTACTATACGGCTTATCAAGGGGGATACTAGGAGTTTAGACTATAACTCATGCAAGGAATTACAGTTTCCAGTTCATTTTCCATTTTCTTTTCCATTTGATTCTCTATTCTTGGGGTACCATAGTATATACTCAATCTCCCCTATATAACCCTTATACAACCCTTAAATTACCCTTACAATAGAAGCCCTATATAATTTTGCCAAATGTTTTCCACGTAACCTTATCTATCCCCATATAACCCTATATTCCCTATATAATCCCTATATAACCCCTATAGAACCCCCTTTTAAAGGGTACGCCCTGAACCCTAAACCCGAAACCCTAAACCGCAGGAGTCGGAGCTCAGCATCGGCTCATGTCTCAGGGCCTGGAAGCTGGGTGGTTGTTGACTGGGGGGTTTCCCAAAATTTAGGGGTACCCTTTAAAAGGGGGTTCTATAGGGGTTATATAGGGGAATATAGGGTTATATAGGGATTTATGAGGTTTAGGTTTCCCAAAATTAGGGGTACCCTTCTTGGGGGTCCCTATAATAAGGACTATAAGGACTATAGTATTTTGGGGTCTATATTGGGGTCACCCTGTTTTGGGAAATTACTGAATAGCGTTTGATCAGGGGGTTGAAGGGTTTAGGTTTTTTTAGCGTTAAGGGTTTTAAGTTGGGGTGTAGTCTTTGGGGTGTAGGGTTATATGACTGTTGCTAGGGTTTTTTGGGGGTGAGTGTTCGTAGTGTTCCTTAGGAATATCGGTGAGAGTGAATATTAGCTGTCCTGAGGAGGCCAGAAAGGTTTAGGGTGGGTTTAGGGTTGTTTAGGGTTTAGGGTTTCGGTTTGGTAAAGGACTTATGGACTCTTACCATGCGCACGGTTTGGTTGTGGGCCATACGCTAGGGGTTTTAGAGTTTCAGGTATAGTGGAAAAGAACATGGAAAATGCCTTTGTGAGATTACAAAGGGGCTTCCAGGGATGTAGGATTGCTGGTCCATTGTTGAATACAGCTACTTTTTTAACAGTTACTTTCCTATGAGGACTATGTATGAGGCTACAGGGAACCTGTGCAATTGAACACATCTTCACGCACAACAAGGATGTAGTCCTGAATGCACTATAGATTAGAAGTCATCACTTTTCGTAGCACTTCAACAACCCTGTTGATAGACAGATCCCTCTGCACCTAAACCTTGGGAGATTTGGTGCACTAGAGCCCTAAGGCTTGAGACCCTAAACCCTAAACTGCGTACTATACTTATGGTCTTGTAGGCTTTCTGTTCAGCCAGAATATCCCAGGAAGCCGGCGCAGAAGTTCCGATTAGCACCTGGCCTGCAGCAATTCTTAGAATATGCCACGACGGTTGATGCTAAAAATCTTGCATGAGCTTAGTGTATCGTAGTGCTCCTTGCAGTTTAGGGATTTCGGGTTAAGGGTTACTTGCTATCTGGTTAGCAGCTCAACGGATGACGTACAGAGGATATGAATGATTTGGATTCCTGTGTCCTGTGAGAACACACGCTGTTTGTAACTTTTGAACACTTCTTCAGTGATCTCAGTTTCAGGTCCTTCTTGACCTTGGCCATGAGTGCTAGGATCCTATGCCACGGCCTCTTCCAGGCGGGAACCTAGCAAGCCTGTTGCAAAAAAAGGGACAAGGGGAACCGCAATAGTCCGTTCGCAGTGCCAATGTGCCCCGCGGCCCATGATGGCACACTCTGTTTGTGAGAGAGCACAGAAGTCTGCAACATGTTGTGCAGTCGATGGACAGGCGAGTCGCACGAATTTTGATTGACACCTGAAATTTGCGATCATAACTTGTAAGGTGTCAAGTCAGGCTTACTACCATGCGGGGTTGTGATTCTTAGGGTCGCCAAGCCTACATGACGACGCCATTCTTTATGTTAATGTTGCCTGCTTAACTTTTCCAAGAGGTGGGGAGCTTTGTCAACAGATTTTAGGGACAACGCAGCGCGGTATCCATTTATTGCTTAGTTCAGGTGGTCTGACAACGAGAAACATTTGAAGCCCAGGACCTTGCCTTACCAGCTTCTGGAAACCGCACGTCTCCAGGAAAGAGCCTTGGTAAGTATTTGAGATGGTGGTTTGTCAATGTGCCGGTCCGGTTTTAAGTCCCCAAGATAGTACAGCCCTTAACATTTTGTGTATCCAACAAGAATTTGGAACCCCTCCGGCCCCCGATGGAGACAGATGTATGGCATAGAGGCCTCTGTGACTTGCGTGCAGGGCCTGGAACGCGCAGTTGGGTTTTGAGGTTTGCTGTGGGTATGCTTGCAGGCTTGCCTGTATATTTATTGTAACCCCCTTCCCCTAATTTCTAATCGGTGCATTAAAATTTCCATTTTGGTATACAATGCTTTGGAACGTTTAAAGGTAGAGGGGTGGGGGGTTTGTATTAGAGGGAGGTGACTACGTGCGCTGACATTCTAGGGCAGAAAGAGAGGGACGGCATCGTTAGCTGAGCCCCGAACCTTCAACACTTCGACCGAGTACCCTCAACGAAGCTGAGCCTTCAAGCGGGAGCCGCTCAGCTCTACACCTGCTTCTAAGCGCCAAATCCATAGTCTGGCACTTTCTTTGGTGACGAAGTCCCCCAGCAGTAGATGCAACATTCGCTTCCATGTCTGTTACCGAACCTCTGCACGTGTAAGCCCCCGTGAGCAGGCTCCTGGCGCCTTCACAGTTGGTTATTTGTCCAGCACAATCGAGGAATTTTTCAAAAGCCAGCAAACCATGTTTGGGGCACGTACTTTAAGCCCCAGAGCAAGAATAACAGCTTTTGGGATGTCGTTGGAGAAACTTGACCTCTTCAGGTAGGAGGGGTGCCTAGAGGGGCCGAAGAAAGCTCTGGACGTGTTTGGGCTGTTAATTACTTGATAATGATAAGCTGTTGTACAGGGCATGAAGCCCCACATGCATCACATGCAGCGAAACCTTTAAAAATGCCATAGGTCCGATGCATGTATTTGGCAGCCCCGCGTGCATTCATCCCAGTTTTTGGCTTGGCTTCTCAAAACAACCCTTCATTCTTCTCGGGAGATCTATGTCCAAAGGACAAATCAAAGAGTATTAGAAGGGCACTCTTTTTGGAGGGATCCCACTTTTTTCGCAAACACCTATGAGCCGTATCAACCCAAAGCTCTATGAAATCGTGAAGCCTCCATTCGAGGAATCCATCCCTCCTTCCGCTGCCGGCCAAGTTAGCTTCGTCATTCCCGGCCCTTGGGGCCTAGCTTGTCCTTCCCAAGGATGCTGCCTCAATCGGAGGGGGCTTCAGAAAAGATTAGGCTGATCTAGGGATGTGTGGGGTGTGTAATAGAGTTGGATGTGAAATTATCTAGGGACTTCTTTGGAGGTTCCCATATATGTGAAAGATTAGGGCTGGGAGAACAGCAGCTTCGCCGTCTATACAAATGTGTGCTTGCACAATGCACCTGTCCCTAGGTTGACCATGAAGGTTTGTGGTCACGACTCTCTCTCTCTCTCTCTCTCTTTCACACTACGTCTTTCTCCGTCTCCCTTGAACAAGTTTTCTCAAGGGCTTCTCCTTTCAAGGGACCTGCAAGACACTCCCCTGTAACCTCAGCTTCGAAGTTGCTTCATGCGACAACCTGATTAGTTGTTAGGATTAGCTTGCAACTGGCCGTCCTTTGTTTTATACGTTGTGGCTTAAAGCAGGGCTTGTGTGGTGCCAATGAAAGTTAAGCTCGCAGCTTCCTGGAAGCGTGGAGAGCGTTTTTTTTGCGGATGTTGCGACCCTGCCAATCTGTCGCGGATCAGGGGAGAGAGAGAGAGGGAGAGAGAGAGAGATTGTCCCATGCGTCTTGTACTGGCGGTATGTTGGGTATCCCAGGTGCCGACCGGTCAGGACTGAGCCGCGTGGGGCTTGGGACATTGTCCCGGGGGCTTCAAGTGACTCCCTAGGACCAGAAGACGAAGAGAGATTATCCCATTGTCCCGTCTGTCCATTCAGGACCGTACCCATACCCCTAAACCCTATACCCCTAACCCCCTAAACCGTAAACCCATAAACCCCTAAACCCTAAACCCCTAACCCTATACCCTTAAACTCAAAATGATAAATCACGAAGCCCTAAACTAAACGTTAAACCCAGGATGGAAAGTGGCTTGCTGTGGGACGAGCTGGTTGGATGCGCTGCCCTGGCATGGAGGAGAGGTTTCTTATAAAGGGGATATATAGGGGTCATATAGGGGTCACGTAGGGGTTATATAGGGGTTCTATAGAGTTGTCAAGTTTTGTGGGGTTCTATAGGGTGCAGGTAACCCAATAGAGAATCAAATGGAAAAGCAGATGAAACGCTGAATGGAAATTATGCTGATAAGTGCCTTGCAGGCTTCGGGCCAGCTAGGTAGGCAAGAACCCAGCTATGACCAGGCAATACTCCGCGATCACTACTATCATTGCAGACGACTAGCTTTCCCGCAACCTCAATACTTAGCCCCGCATTGTAAAGACTCCGAATCGCTTCTTTTGCTACAAGCTCCCCGGGTATAAAAAGGCACTATGCCCTGAGGCACCATGTCCTCAAATACTACCTACATTGGGCGCCAGTGCCTACAAATAGTACCTACATTGGGCTATTTGGAGCCCAACGGATGTTGGGGATCTTGACTATTTGTGGTGCTATCTGTGGGGGAGGACAGGTGGCTTTCAAGAGCTAGGATGGGAAGGAAAATGTGAGCTACTGTCAAGATTAGCCTTATTAAACGCCCCATTGTTATGGACATAGGGGCCCCTCTTGTAGTTGAGTTTAGTCCCTAATAAGGAACCCATGTCCACTAAATTATGTAGTAAATATTGGTTGTAGCTTAGGAGGACCCCCTCCCTGTAATAGTGGTATACTAGGGATATAAGAGGACCCTGATATAATCCTTAGTATCCCTTATAGTCA